AAATTTCAGCAAGACTGCTACTTTCCCGCTCTTTTCTACCTCTACCACAAGTTTTCATTTTACGATTCCAGACATTGAAAGCCAACTTCTTGCCGTAAAGACACTCGGCGTCAGTGAAAGGAATTTTATTACCAGCAATAAACGGGAGCGATGGCGACAACAGAATGTCAACATGGCATTTTCCGAACTAAGAAAACTCCTCCCGACTTACCCAGTGGATAAAAAGCTCTCCAAGGTGGACATTTTAAGAACAAGTATCAAGTACATTCGATTTTTGGACAGTGTATTAAAAGAAATGGACCGAGAAGATAAAGACAAAGAAGGACACAAGAATGAAGAAGTGAAATGCCGACCTTGTGAAAACAGAGAAGGAATAAGCTTTAGCGAAGATAAACACAAGCCTTCTTGCTGTTTCCACAACTTAGAGAGATCTTGAGCGAGGACTACATTGATGTTCGACAGATCTTACCAGAGTTCCATATCTAATACTCTGGGACATCGACAATAAATAAACATCGCAATATTGGTTTAGAGGCTTTGTAACAAGAAGAAACTTATAAGTGTAAAAACAACAAAAACATCCGTTGCCAAGTTATCCCATCAAGTGCTTTGACCGGCAGCAAAGAAGTCTTCTCACTTTAAGAAGTAGAACTTAGAATTATGAAATAAATGTTAAGTCATCATTTTATATTACTGTACAAACCTTCGCCTAGATTTCGGTTCTTTTTGAAATGTACGTTTGCTGGGCTAATGAAAATAGTTGTTGACATTTGAATTAAGGGATTATCTCTCTTGAAAAATTGACTCTGTCTCAGATATGGAAACGGCTTTAACAAAAATTCCATATATTTCCATTTGATTATTGCGTGAAAAGAACTGTGGTTGACATTACGTTTATTTTCATATATAAAATTTAAATCATAACTTTCAAAATAAAAACATCAATAATGTTCTCAAGACACAAGCAAAACTAAAAGCATTATCTCTTTTGGTAATCATAATTAACAAAAGGATTTAAGATCATTAATTTTAATGAATCAAAAACATGTTCAATAAAATCTTCAAAAGGAATCGAGGATTGCTATCTTTTCGTTGTATTTAAAACGTTCTGATCCATAAAGGATGGAGGAGGAATCAATACACAATTTCAAACATTGAATTTACACAAACCACCAAGAAATTTAGCTTTGTGAAATAATTTCATTATGAAGTCATATCTTTCAGTAGTTAAAAGACTAAGAACGCATGGAATGATTAACTAAAAAGGGAAAATTATAAGTGGAAAAACACATTTGCTGACTATTTTTACCACGTTTCCTAAGATATACAAATTGGAAAAACGTACACGGAGAAAACGTCGCTTAACGAAAACTTTTAAAAGTATGGATTACAATGATAACGGCCATGTAAAAAATATTTTACAACTTGAGCAAAACAAAGCTGGGTTCAAACCATTTACTGAACAAAACATAGTGTAAAAACAGCTCACAAATACAAGAGAACATCAGTTTTCAACTGTATGAAATAAGGTCTGTTAACGCTTTGTGACAAAAAGGTGAAAATCAGTAATGTTTTTAAAACGACTGAGACAAAGTTTTAAGGCAAAGTTACGCAACCCATTCTATTACAAAACAACCCACCCCACCCCTGTTTGATCCAAAATCACATCCGTCGCCATATCTCACCTTGAACTTTTTATCAACTGATGTTTATGATTGATGAGGAGTTTTTCCAGCCAACGCCTCTGTTGGCTAAAATTAACTGATTGTGAAGGATAATTTAGAACAGATCGAAAAAAAAAAAAAAAAACCAAAAACCAAAAACGTTCTAGGAATTTGTCATGTAAACTTCAACTGACATTGATGGATTACTAGGAGCCCCTTGGGCGTCATAAAACAAAAACCGAACTTATCCCCTCAGCCAATCAGAACAAAGCAAAAATCAGAAGACGACGATAAGAACTCCAAGCAAAAACAAGTAGACTACTGAAAGCGCGGGAAAACGGAAACGACCAGGTCGCGACTAATTCTAGTTTTGAATCTAATTGGTTGAGTGGTGCAAGTTCCTTGGCCAATCAGAAAGCAAAAGTAAAGAAAACTAACCAAATCCAGGATTTCCTTCCTCACTCAAGTGACAATTGCTCTATAGCAATTGTAGTCATCCATGAATTCCGTTTACTTAGTTCCGCAGTTGGTGTTTTATTGAATGACAAATAAACCTCAAAACAACGGAAAACAATTTTAATTTCAAAAGTAACATGATGAAAATTCGTTTCTGGTGAAATTTGTCTCCTTTTGTACATTGTAAACCTAATATTTAATATCGACAAGATTAGTTCTTCACACAGTTAGGGCCATTTGCTAAAAGGGTGCATTAAATTGATTGTGAGTCGGTTCTCTATTTTGGGATTGTGAACCGCCCCTTACATCATGCTACTTTCCACATCAGGAAACCTTCATTAACTCTTTCACGCCCAAGATCTCATTAGTAATTCTCCTTAGTGTCTGCCACACAATTCTGATGATGCTGGTTTGGAGAATTTGGTATTGGATCAACTGATAATCCCCTGATTTTCTTCTTTCCTTATCCTCATTACTTGTCTGCTTGATATTGTATGGGTATTGTATCCGTCTTGGTCACTCATGAGAGCGGAGGGTTAACATGTGTGAAGAAAATTAAGAATTCCTTAAAAGTAACTGATTTCGCTCGAGTCTTTGTCAGGTGTGGACGTCAGGAAGCTTAAAACCCGAACACTAATAACTGAAAATCCCTAACATCCGTTGTTTGTTCTTCATCAACATAACACCGAGGCAGTTCGATGATTTTTTTTTCTTTCGGAAACAGGAAGCACCGGTTTTAGTATAGAAACCCTCAGAATTCGCCGCCGAAGAAACCACATGACATAATATTAAAATCGACACATTCGAGGAACGAACAAGTAAAAAAATTGGGGTTGTGTTATTAGTCTATCTGTAGTAACCCTTGATTGATTGTCACGAAATATTTGGCATGCGTGACAACAAAACGGACTCATAAACTTTATGAATTCCGGCCTGCTACCCAACTGATTTCTGGGTACTCATTTGTTATCAAGACAATCATTTGTTATCCCCAACTTCCTCTCGGCCTCGAAGTTTCAGAGAAGAGCCTTAATACCGTTGAGAGAGTGTTCAATGAATTCCCCATTTCAAAAACGAGTGGGGGAGTGGGTAGAGTTCGCCGCGCAAGGTTGTCTGGGATCGTTACTCGAGACGCAATATCTTTGTTTACTACAGATTTGTGTCCCAAGTAACGATCCCAGACAAACGTTCGCGGCGAGTTCGACCCACTCCCCTACTCGTTTTCGAAATGGGGAATAAAGGTCAACAAGCCTTGAAAGAAAAACTTAGCGAAGAATGGACAACTGATATCTGTGTATACGGAAAACTTTCCAGCATACAAAAACAGAAACGACCTAGATATCCTTTCGATTCAGATTGTTTTGAGGACAAAAAGATTATTAACATAACTGCATTACGAAAAGAGTATGTACGTGCAAAACCGCAGATCGCGATTGAATACGTAATATCAATTTAAAAAGGTCTACCGCGCCTTGGAAATATTAGAAACATTCAGCAGTGAATTGTCATTTCAACACACCTAGCTGTAAATTAACAAGAATCAGAAAAAAACTTAACATGTGACATGTGAGTCGAGGGGTGTGGTCGGCAATTTAACCGCTCGATACGGGCTAATAGCATGCAACCAATAAAGAAAAACAGCTGAACAATGAGACATCACTGGATCCAACAAAACTGTTTGTAATAAAATAACAGCCTCAAATGGCCCCATCCTACTAACATCGCCTAAAGAAGCAATAAACTTCTTCCAAAATATTGGATCATTCGCTTCAATCAGCGGCATGTGATGAAATTTAATACTCCCATTTTAAGACAGTAAAATAGACCATCGTTATACATCTTTTGGAGAAGACAAAAGACACCACTTTCTCATACAATTTTTGACGTCCACGATACTTTCCTTCTCTGCGAGCGACTTCAACATAGAGAGGTTTATGTTACTTCTTGGAAAGAAATGGGAAAAGTTCTCAACTACCACTGTCTACCTAACCTTATAATCACGCACGCGCGAACTACGCACGCAATCAAGACTACCGTTTCCTCCTTTTCTTTTCTCTTCATTAACTGCACTTGCAGACGAGGCCGGTTGTAAAATTAAACAACTTTAAGACAAACTAAACCCGAACTATCTTACTTTAAGATCACAAAAATAAAAAAAAAAATAAAAAAAAAAACAACAACAACAACCGAATAGCATCAATACCACGATGAAGAGAATATGATTGAGCTCTTTGTCAATTTTTTTAAACGTAGGCCAATTTAATTACGAAAATAAATAATTAAAATTGATGAATGGTGTGTGACGCAATTCATCTGTTCAGTTCAACCCATATCTTCATAGATAGCAGTACCATCAATATTCTATCACGGGACAGAGATATAATCATTATTTCTTGATTTTTCGTGGTTTTAAGATAACTCTAGTAAGTCAAACGTTTTCTGAAGCTGACGGAGTCTACTTCCCTCGGCCCCAGTGTTCGCTGCTCAACCACACTAGGTTAATTCTCGGAGTTGCTACATCTCTGTGAAACAATTAACTAACATATTACAGATGTCATCTGAAGGCAAACTATTGACATTTTTTGCAACTTATGCCAAATAAACATCACATTAAAATTCTTCTGTCTGTACACCTATTCAAGCAAACACACCCAGGGAAATACATGAACCAAAAATAAACGACGAGGAGGATTGGAATAATTACAAAAATCGCATTATCGCAAAAATTGTCTAAAGGGTAGAAACAGGCGCGTGTAGAACAGATGGTGAAGGAGTAACTAAATATTTTCTTTCTTTAAACATTTGAATTATTGATATGGAACAAAAATGGGCACTACAACTTTAAATACAATGATGGCGAGGATTCATGCTAATTCAGTTCTTGTTCGTCAAAGGACATCTTTTAAAAAGCAGTCTGTGAATAAAATATGCAATAGGAGTTTGTTTGACGCTTAATTAATACACGCAATAATCAGTCCTTCCATAGCAAGTCATAACATATTTCAACTAGATACCTAAAAAACCGATTTAATCCAGTTACAAAGAGACACAATTTGCCCATTGTAATGAATCTTATAAACCGCAAATCTTGTTCGTCGAAATGCTTCAACAAACTGTAAATCTTTTAGTTGAAGTTTCCGACATTCTAAAATCCTCATTTATCATGCATGTCGCGGAAAGTCTTAAAGAGACAAAGCGTTGATTAACCAACGTGTGTGTTTCACGAAAGAGCTCTACGTTCATTAAAATGAAGAAATATCGTTTTAAAAAAAGGCAAATAGAAGATTTCTTCAGTATCAAGTCTACCTTCAGGCATATCTTTACGGCTAATTCTTAGCCAAATTTCAACGCTACATCCAAAACCGATAGTTTCCTCTCTCTTAAGAATGTAAAAAATAAAAGAGATTATTATTTTTCTGAGAAAGACAATGCCACTAAGCTTCAAAAGAGTAACATAAAAAATCAAAAGCTTATTAGAAAGCCGGCCGAAAACACGGAAAGATGCAGATCCCACAAATCAGTGAACTATTTAATATTTCCGGATAGTTTAGTAACACTGAACATTACATATTACATATGTTGAACAACACAAACAGGCCCAAAAGGTACATTGCCTGATATGCTTGGTGGGAAAAAAGGAAACTTTACTCTTTTTAATACCAGAAATCAGCGATTTCAAAATAATCCAGCAGACACCATTTAAAAAAGAGAAAGAAAAAAAAAGACTGGTAATATCTATATTGCGTCACATAGCAAGATCGGCCAGAACTCCTGTGGAGGAAATAGTATCATTCAAAATTAATGGAAGACGTCATTTAGAGTTTGTGAATGGTTTATGTACGTCATTGCGGGGATTCTCAACATCCCACGACGAATTAAGAACAACACTCGAGTCCTGCTGATTCAAGCAGGAAAATCTCTTCAAACGGTGAGAATAATCCCACGAATTCTGTTACCCTTCCTGCAAGTAAACTATACACCTCATTATCACTTAGGACTTGAAACAACACGCTTCACTGTGTGGAGCGAGCGTGATCAAAATGAACCGTACACACAAACCCGACATCTTTTGTTTCGTAAATTGTTCGCTTTTCAGACGAACGAGACAAGTCAAACAATTCTGGTTTTGACTGGTTAACAAACCGCAGCCCAGGGCAGGTCTGCTGTAGGCCGAGTGACGCTTGAAAGTTAAGGGCCGAAACTTGAAACGTGAATAAAAGTGATTTCATGCGAAATTCCAAACACACCTCGATAAAAAAAAAAAAAAAAGATCTGTTTTATTTTAGTCTTGAAGAGTCTGCTGTCAGACACAGACTTCATTAGGACCACACAACAAAGACATTGCTCACTAAACGACTTCTAACAACTGTCTTAAAAAACAATTTGACACCGTCCGACATAAGTGAGCTATCCGAGCGCGGATTGGTCAACAGAGGTGTTACGTTACGCAAAATAGAAAGTCCCTTGAAAGGTCAATTTCCTGACTCGGGAAACGAAACAAGACACGAGCCTGTAGCTGCTCACCGCCTTGGATGTACACCGAACGTTCTGGGGAAGCACAGAGCAAAAGGTTATCGGTGAGCTATTATAAATGAAAAAGCAATTAAGCTGATCGGTAAATTGAAGGCAGACTGAAAACACGTTTGACAAAAGACAGGAAAATTGATCAGACGAACCGTACGCGCGTGTGGTGTATAAAAGCTGCGGGTGTAAGTAACAGAGTACAGTTACTTTGCGCGACGAAATCATGGACATGGACTACCATCATTTTGAAGGAACAGCTCCGGAGTCATATGCACTGTCACCTGAAGGCTCTGCCTGTAGCTCGAGTGGCTCAGAAACGAGTTTAAGCCCGACACCATCGCCCCAAGCTGCCATGTTTTACCCTCCAGGGCACAGACTTACACTCTCCTATCACAATCATTGTCAGTCGTACATGAAACGACTCTACACAAATAGCAGAGAGCGGTGGAGGCAGCAACATGTTAATCTGGCGTTTGGTGAGCTTAGAAAACTACTTCCAACTTATCCACCAGAGAGGAAACTCTCTAAGAACGAAATCCTTAGACTTGCTATGAAGTACATCCGATTTCTGGACGATCTTCTCAAAGACATGGGCGACAACAGCAAGCAGAATCAAGATTCACGCGAAGATGTCACCGACAGAAAGCTTAAAGAAGAAAGACGAGAAAATGTACAATTACACTGCAAAAGACAAACCAACTCTTCTCTTTCATTAATGGAAGGAATGGAAACAAATGTTATCGACTCCAGCGTGCCATCGATATTTGACGCGCATTAACCTTCTTTGAAGATGTCTACATTTTAAAACACGCACAGATAGTTCACATTTTCCGTATTAACCGCGGCCTTATGTGATGATATCAGTCTTATATCTGACAAATAAGAAACTCAGTGCTACACTGTCCAAGAATTGTTGCAAACTGGAATTGTAAATGCTGTAATTATTTCTGAGACTGTTCTTTGTAATCGTGTTTACTGTTATCCTTTCTCTTATGTAAATAGTTTTTCCTCTCTGTTGTGTCTAGTTTGTTTGTTTAAGAGTTAAATCGTCTCTTTATTTGTAATACGTTAGGATGTTGAACCCTTCAAAACTATTATGTTTATCTGTCCAGAGATTTGCCATCTAAAGAAACTGAGCGCTCTAATTAATAAACACTTTCTCTGATCAAGATCATGTCATATTGTGCTATCATCAGTATATATTTCCGCTTCTGTTTTAGTAATTTTGGGGTTTTTAAGTAAATAAAGAGTTCAAAAATTGATCGAACTAGGGTGTTAATCAAACTTTCACGCGTTGCGCGAAGACGCGCTTTAGTGGATAATGGATTTAAGTGGGGAGACTCGTGCACTTAAGGAATAATTCGCTGACTAATTTCACCAACAAAGAAAGCTATGTTATCTACTTTCGTGCCAATGAAAGATCGGCTACCATTGAAAACATCAACGTACTTCATTCAAGTGTTATGTTTCTGTCTAATTCGGAGATTTTTGAGCTGATAAACTGAGGAACACTAAATTAATGAGAGATCAAGGACGGACAAATCTCTGAGAGCAAAGATCATTTTTGACAGCAAGGTCACTTGCGTCATATAAATGCTCAATAAAGACAGCTCTAGGAATTGTCAATGTACAATCTACAATAATCTAACGATCCGATAGCTGCGATTTGTTTTCAAGATGCTTAAGGGGAAATAGTTTCTCCTATTTTAGGAACGTTTGTTCTTCATCTTTCATTTCAGTGTCCACACCTAATTTTTTGTCACACCTATCCCCTACTGTGAGTTTGAAAATATTAGTTAATTTTTCACGTTGCAAAATTGGATCATTCACATTTTCATCTCAAATGTCTCTGTATATAACTGCCCGTCTGGGTAAACGTCGCGATATACTTGCACAAGAGAGCTACAAGCATATTGTCACCGTGTGGTTTGGAGTTAAAAAAATTCTAAGAATCGTATCACACATTTAGTCGTTAATACACCATTAACATTACGTTAAACAAACTGCACTTCTATTTAAAAAGAAACATGCACTAAAAATATTTAGTTTATTTAGACTTGTTAAGGCTAACATTGGAATGTTCACAAAAGACAGACAGAAAGTAGTTTGAGTGCAAAGTAACAAACTAACTGCTAAATCAAATCAGAACTGGCCATGTACCAAAAAAAAAAAAAGTTTACGCAGCTAACAAAACTAACCGCAAATCGCCGCGAAATATACGGAAATAGCTGCGATTAACCTCCACCTTGGTGTTAAATTCACAATAACAACTTTTCAATAACAACCAGGAGGAATTCTAAGACCTTACTGAATGTCTAATACAAACAAACAAACAAGAGAGAATTATTAACACATGTGTAATTTGTAGGCCGAGCGGGCGGAAGAGCGCCCAGCCACCGAGAACGTGCACGTCTTCGTTGAGTGGGTTGGCAGATGAAATGAGAGGCGCTGACAACTGGTAAAGCGGTGAAAAATGAGCTAACGCGCTTGATTTTTCACACAGCTGGAATACATTTAAAAACTGGCAATGACCCTGCGTTTTAGTATTATTATTATTAATGATCTATTTCACTCTTTATATTGGTCTTATATTGGTAGCTATCAGTGTGATTATAAGCCGTACCTTAAATGTAAAGTTTGTCTTTGACGAAGACTCGTTTCAAGCGATCTCAGTTTCACTCTGACTATCACTAATAACGAATTCAGTTTTCTTCTGGATACCAAGGAAGTGAAACAATATATGCGAAAGAAAGAGATAGTATTTACTTATGTGATAAGCTTTGTTCGGTCCGGCTTAGAACGTGTTCGTTACAAAAGCGAAACAAACTTTTTGCGACATTTCTAAAAGAACACAGATTACTAAGTCTTGCGGTGACCGGGAAAGTGCGAGCTATACTGTACCATACAATCGTAACTCATATCCAGCGTTTTCATAAAACCTCAAGCAAAGATCAAACTGCTGTTAAACTACTTCACAACTCGAACGACTTTTTAAGGTGTCCTGCAATTTCCCCCCACAGTGTTCTCCCTTACTGTAAGCACGACAGGTAAAAGAAATTTTCAAACCAGTAGAGCAGTCCTTTTATCTGTTGGACTTTCAAGATTACCGAGTGATTTTAAGCGGAATAATATACCGGTTACCGCGCGAAAAGGGGAACACTAGACTTAACCATCATAATAACCGAGTTACTATAAACAATCTCTAGTATATCTACATACAGCTGTATAAAGTAAGTTCTGAAGGATTTAAAGTAAATAAAAAGCACAGACATCATTAACGTTTATCAAAGATTTATTCTTATTACTGCTGGGTTCTAATTTCCTCGATGTCCTATCGCAAACAAAATACAGTATTTCTTAAATTAAATTGCAAAATTTCAAGGCGGAATTTGTCTCTCAAGGCAATACAACTAAATCTTATTCAACACTATAGCGGACTTTCAAATAAAAAAAAAAGTATCTGTGTTCGAGCAAAGGTTCACTAACTACCCTCCCACAAAAGAGCAATTTATGTAAAAATATAAGATAAGCAACGGAAATTACTGCTATTATAAAGGATTAAAAGAAGCGAAATGGTTTTGCGGGCGGCCGAAAAAAGAAAACAACAGCTGTTTTGAACCTTTCGGAGGGTTAAAAATAACTTGCGCCAAAAAAAGAAAAATGCGAACATTAAAAAGATCTTTTACCAGTTCGTCACCTCTTTCACGAGCACACATTTGTCTCTCAAGTATATTCGTGGGAAAGACAAAAAACAAAAACTATACCCAGTCAATAAATCACAAAATGTGGCTGCTGCGTTTTTGTTATAAACGCCCGACACTTAAGTTTAAGCCAGCGTCTCTATTTTGTGTTCCTGCGTGTATTGGCTTCTATTCAACTAAGTTTCCTTGATAATTTTGGCCATAATTACTAAAATCCTGGACAGCTATTCAATTTTATTTCCTTTGTTCCAAATACATGTTTCTTTGATAATTGCTTTAGGCCGAAAACGAAATTTATGCACATGGTTATGTTGTTCGGTAGTACTTTTGGACGCTTGGCAAGAACGGGTGATCACTTGTGTTTTTTTTTTTTTGTGTGGCCAAAGTGGGCGGAAAGTGGGTGAAATTAGTCCTTCCTATCAAAGAGTTTTAAATTCACACACCTACATACTTGCCAAGAAGAAAAATACTCAAATAGGGAGATAATTTCTCGCGGTTAAACTAAAGCATCGCGTGGAAGCGTTTCAAGAGAAATCTAACATTTAGAACTCGTTTATTTTCACGCTTAAGAAACTTTGAACCGTGGGGCAAAAACGAATTAAAATGTTCACATTTGGGCCTTAGAGGTCTCTATCACCGTGATATTTCACGGAACGATGTGCAGCTCTCAGTATGAACACTGCCATGTCTATGATGTCAACTAACACCTTCAATAGCACTTACTCAGTGATGCCAATGCACGTTTAACCGACCATTCCCTAACGACAATCTCCATTTGGGCGGGAGACTTTTGGCGTTGATATTGCGGGCACTATCCGCTTTACTAATTAACTTAACCCAAACATGAGCATCTTGAGCAGAAGGATGTAAAATCGATTAATAAGAATTTGTCCTTTCAGGAAATTGCCGATTATTGCGTGATGAGTAACTTTTACAGAGATAAACACTAATGGAGTTTGCGAGACAAATTTGATGTGACAAATTGTTCTCCACTAGAGAATTTTTTTTATTTCAGAAAGGTATCAAATTTAAAAAAAAGTTTTACAATCCATCCAATGTTTTCGCGTGTACGCTATTGGTCTAATTAAGTCACGTGTTCGCTTGCAAGTTAATGGTCTGAACAAGTCACGTGTAGACCAAAAACCAGAAAATAATCACGTTATCAACATCCTATGCAGTCAAAGTTTTAGACGGAGCCCTGTTCTTCTTCTGCTTCATCTAAATCTAATTGTTTGAGGGTCTGTAATCTGTTTATTTCTTAAACCTTCACACAAAGTTCAAATACACGAGATGGTAGTAAACTTTTAGCTCATCCTCAACCATATTTCACAATATTTAAAAGAGGAAAAAAGCTATTATGCTCTGAAAAAATTTCTCCTAAAACATCAGCACAGAACCACTAGTTAAGGTCATGAGAATTAGGGAAATGATCAGTTGTAACCTTAACGACAATTTTAATTGTTGTCGCAAGGCAATGTATTCAGACCACTGAGGTTACATTAGTTGTAGACTATAGAGCCTAAAGGCCGGGAATTCAGTGATATAGTATACGACAGTTCATATGTTCTCCACATTAGATATTTCTTCCACGATTGATTTCCATTCAGAACCTTAACGGTCATGAAAACAATTTATCTCACAGCAGAAATTAATCCATTTTCAGCCGATCTTGGCCAGTTCCTTCATAAAGCAGAACAATTATTTTTAAAAGTTGCTACTTGCCACTTTTATATGAACTGAACATCACCAACAAGAAGAAAAATTCTTCCTCTACTGAAGAACAAAAGCCTTCTTTGGTTGTGACCTTGAGCCAATAGTGTAGTCCGACACAGGCGTTATGTCTGAGAAAGCTTGGCAGTTTTTTGATTGGTACAAGGAGCACCAAAAACCGGCGCTTGTCCTGAGGAATGCATTACTTACAGTTCGTCCAAGGAAGTTTCCCAGTGGCGCCAGCTACCTCCGTTTCTCTTTCATGGCTTTTTTACTCGCTTCTCTTCGTCTTTTGTTGATGGGATTTCGTGGATCAAATATTTCATATGTGTCTTCGTTTTCTATGTAAGCATCTCTTGCACGTTTGCTCTCAGCTTCACACATCAACGTGTGAAACATCCTGAAAAAAATACACTGAATGTGAAAATCAAAGTTAAGCTAAAGGTAACAGACCAATCCCAGTAGCTGAACTGTAAATCTTATGTAAATCTTAATCTTTTATATTATCAGTATTGTATTTCTAATCTAATCGTAGGGTAGCACATATATATAGGGTCAACTAAACGGGGCAGGATTGCATATAATATGCGTTTTATATACATTAGATTAGTTTAGTTTAGTTTAGGTGTCCTTATTTAGTGGGAAACTGCTATTGATTTGACACATTAATAAAGTTTATTATTAATTATTATTATTATTATTATTATTGTTAAACAATTACGCATCTACTCCTCCCCTACAACAATCAACGGATACCAAGTTAGGGTTGATGTTGATTAAGCCAGGAAGGGGTAGGTTTGCATTTGCTCAGACATGGTGATTCAGTAACACCAACAGAGAAAATGGGAATCCTCTAAGCAGGTTTCCGTAGCCGATGTCCTCACTACCCTAAAATAACAGCACCCAACCTGGAGAGAGATTCAGCTGCAAATATGTAGCTCAGTTATTTAGTTAAAAGAAGGTAAGTTTCCAAAAAAAACTGTGGTGCTGCGGCGGTGAAGGGTACCACAAGACAATTCGGTTTTATCAACTGAGATGGTACTGTAATTTGGATACCGGAAGAAGTTTCTAAAGCATTAATTTTTTTTTGAGCATTACAGAGCCCAGAGCGTTAAGCTTTCGCTCTAACGAAGGGCAGCCGTCTACGGTTAACAACTCAGTTCAGAGATAAAACCAAATTGACGTATTAAGTTGTTGGCTTCTTTGGTTTTGTTTTGTTTTTCCTCTTACCATCCTGCGTCATCATCTTGGTTTTCTTCATCTTTTTCAATTTCTTTTTCTCCCTTTTCCTCAATTTCTTGTTCTCCTTCAGCCTCATGAAGTTTGGATGCAAATGAAGCCAGGAGAGAGAGGGTCTGCAGATGAAGAAACATAGTAACACTCGTCTTTTCACATCTAGAAATGTGACGATAAAAGTAAACACCCTAAGAGTTACTGACGTCATTGCCCGGAAAAGGGCACGAGAGGCTGCTAGGAAGCCAAAGAGATGGCTTCCAGGCTGGTTGACAGCCGAGAATTGGCTTCTATCGAAGCTGTTGGCTTCATTATCATTAATTTCATGATATAATACCTGTTCGTCTCTCCCTTCTCCTTTTCTTTTCTGGCTCGTTTTCTTTTTTTCAAGATATGTCTTTTGTTCAGCATGGAAAGCGGCCAAGACATCAGATTCCTTTGTCTCTATCAAAAATGAAGGGAATAGATTACTAGGGCTCATTAAACTACGCCAAGTTGAAATTAAATTTTAACTAGACTAGGGCATAAAGGTTTCCCCTTTAGACGCCATGGGAGTTCTGATTCTTTGTCTCGTTTTGACATTGTCTGCAGACAAAAGGTTCTAAACTGATCTCTTGTCTGTAGATGTCTATTTTCAGTGAAATACCTTCTCTATTTGTAAAACAGTTCTTGTTTAAAACGTACGTAACACATTCACAAAAAACAAATCAATTGAGATAGCAGAGATAAAACGAAAAAAGAAAATAAAAACATATGAGAAAATTTTGAGGATGCACTGGCCGGGAATCGAACCCGGGCCTCCCGCGTGGCAGGCGAGAATTCTACCACTGAACCACCAGTGCTTCCATAACAATTCCAGAAGAATTGACCAGACGATAGCTTTGATTGAGCGAATAAAGAACCGTTCTCTTTTGGACTTCTCTTGACGCCTTCTTAAATTTCATCTTGCGACTGCTTTATACCAGAATATAGCCATGAAGCCGATTGTACACCGTGCTATGAATATTAACGCTTTAGAGTCTGGCACATAAGTTGCCCTTAGCAGAAGAACTGAGTTCACTGATGCTGAGATATTTGTGGCCAAAGTGGGCGGGAAGTTGAGTAAATTACTCTTTATCCAAGACTTTCAAATTCAAACACCTATTCACTTGGCAAAAAAAAAAAAAATACTCAGAGAGGGAGATAATTTCTCGTGAGTAGTGTCGTGCGGGAGGAAGTGTTTCAAGGGAAATCTAACAACACTTAAACTCTAGATTATTTTCATGCTTAAGAAACTTTGAATCGTTTGAATCGCGCTACGAATATTGACGCTTCGGAGACTGGCACATGGGTTGCCCTGAGCAAAAGAAGTGACTTTATTGATGATAGGTAGCAGCTTGTGAAACGTGTAAAGCGAAGTTTGTTTCTAAATTTTTTTTAGCTTTATATCGTTCCGAAATAAGGGCCGTAAGTAAAGCCGCCACTTAAGAGGGAAGCCGATAAGAGAACTACCACAACAGATTTTCATTCTCTAAACGCAGACACCTTGTCGAAATCCAGAGGTTATTTTTACGCAAAGAAACAATGAGGTAAAAGAAAAGGATAAATCTTCGAATAGGCTCTTAGACTATTTAGAAGTGTAAAATGTGCTCTCATTTCTTACCACCTTTTCCGTTTTATGAACTTTTTCAAGGCTATCTTTCCTATTTTCTTTCGAATAGTTAACAACTATT